AAGCAGAATGGATGAGATGGAGGAAAGTCCGTTCTGTGCTCGTTTAAACCATATTAGAGAGAAAGGTACAAAGACGTATGTATGTACGTCAGTCCCTCCAGGAAGTTGACCCAAGTTCAAGCAGAAACCCCATTTAGCCCCCTCATGGCACTGGGCCACCATATTTAAAGAAGGACTTTATAGTTTTAGACTTTATTTCTCTCTTCAAAGCCACCAGACTCCTTTATGTGAAACAGTGTGAGGAGTCTGGTGGCTTTGGTGGCGCATAGTTGGATTTGATATAATCCCGCCAGAAAGAGCTGACAAGGTATAGAAGTAAAAATATCCTAAATATAGTGAACGCGGATATAGATTTGTTAAAATAGGCGACATTATGCTGCTGCCCCGTCCACAGCCGTCCGCTTTTTCCAGCATGTTTTGGTCAATTTCTTGTATTTTTCCCTTATGAACAACAACTCTTCGACAAATGCTTCTCGTGGTTTCTCAGTTTGATCGATTTGAGTGACCGTAGAGTTTGTGACAGTGCTTCCAATGTAGAAAATCACTTCCTGTCCTCCATCTGCAGTTCACCCCCCAGGAGCACAGAGACACAGTGACGTCGTACAAACAAGATATTGACTTCAGAAGTGTGTGTGTGTGTGTGTGTGTTACAGCCTGTATCATTAACTACTGCACTCAGAGCGTTTATATTTGTGAAGACAAACAGATATATTCTAATGTTTAATATAGACACAGATATAAATATATGCACACTGTACAGAAACAGATCAGATCCACAAGTAGCACCGTCAGAGGGTGAAACAAAGAAAACCACTGTTGGAGATCGTATTTATAAGTCATCTGTAAGGAGAGCAGGATGTTGTCTACAGCTGGCAGGAAGTGAGGTTGGATGCGAGCAGTTTCCATAGCAACGAAACCCGAACACAAGCAGCAGTTTGATGACTTAAATGAACAATATGTCATTTCTGCCTCAAGAGGGGAACAATTTTGATGAGATGGTGAAGCAGCGTGGGATCATGGGAGTTGTTGTCTTCACCACCATTGGCGTCATTGCAGTCAGCTTCTCCCCGGTTAGGATTCCTTCAGTGTTCAT